TTCAGGCCCCCAAACGTAAAGACCCAATTCAAAACTGGGCACCTGAAATGAACAGATGTTTCTAAGACAAAGAAGTAAAAGCAACAAATAAATATAGGAAAAAGTGTTCAGCATCACTGGTCATTTGAGAGACGCAGATGAAAGCAACACTGAGATTCCACCTCACCCCACAAATGGCTGCTATCAAGAAATCAACCAACAACAAAGGTTGGCGCTGGGTTGTGGGGAGAAACAACCCTTTCTTCATTGTTAGTGGAAGCGCAGACTGGTGCAACCACTATGGAAATCGATATGGAGATATCTCAAACAACTAGGATTAGAGGTTCTGTTGGACCCAGCCATCCCTCTACTGGCTATCTTTCCAAAAGAACTGAAAGAAGCATACCACAGTGATACATGCACACACATGTTTATAGCAGCACAGTTTGTAATAGCTAAATCTTGGGAACAGCCCAATTGCCCATCAGTCAGAGACCGGATAAAGATGATTTGGTTTTTCTATAAAATGGAGTACTACTCAGCCAACAAGAATGAGAAACTAAAGTCATTCATAGGAAAATGGATGCATATTGAGGCCATACTCTTAAATGAAATAAATAAGACACACATGTGTAAATACCAAGTAGCTTCTCTGGTATGAAAAACTAGAAGTGTAGGATCCAGATTATATAACAAATAAAGTGAACTAGGAAGAAATGGGCTAAAGGTGCAGGGGAAGTGGGAAGGGTAGGGGAAAGGAATTAAGGGAAAAGAAAAAACATGAGAAAAGGAAAAAAATGGAAATAAAGTCTTTGTAAATAGGGGAGGGTGGGGGAGGTGAAGGGAGGGAAGGAGTATGGGGAAAAAGTGAGAACCAAGATCTGTCATGTAAAGGTACAAGATCCCAAAGATGAATGTAACTGTACTGTATGCTTTAAAAGTACCAATAAATGAAATGTTTTAAAAAACTGACAAAACTTTAACTAAAATAACCGAATAACTGGATGAAAATAGAGACATGACCTAAAAAGAAATCAGATATGAAAAGAAGCCCCTGCAATTAACATTTTAAAAAGATCATTAAGGATGATTTTGAAAAAGTACATGCTACTAGACTGAAAACAATAAAAGAAATTAAGAAATATTTATGCACATATGCCTAAAAATGTTAAATAAGAAAAAGAATAAATTTTGAGTAAATCTATTGTAAATGATGAGATTATATAATGAAATTGGTACAAGGAAAAGTCCAGGAGTGAAGGTTTTAATGCTGAATTTTTACAAATGTATCATTTATGTTTCTCAAACTATTCCATAGCCCTGGAAGGAATTTAATCCTTCCAAACTCACTATCTTGTTTCCAAAACTTGAGCAAAACAAAAGAACCACCACAACAAAATCATATATCATCAACAAGTTGACGTAATTCTAGGCAAAGGGAAATTTCAATATACACAGTGTTTAGTATATCACTTACATGAAAGAAAAGATAAAAATCTGCTATACAAAAAAAGCTTTTGCTAAAATTCAATGTCCCTTTAAGATGAAAGTCCAAAACAAAGTGGGTATATAATGATCATGCCTCCTATGACAAACCATAGCCCAAACCAAGATTAATAGAAAACAAAGCACTCCCTCTTAGATCACAAACAAGAAGTGTTCATACTTCCCGAAAGAATTAAAAACACAGTGCCATAGCAATACATACACACCTCTATTTACAGTAGCATAGTAATAACTAAATCTTATAAACAAACCAAATCTCAATCAACTAATGAATGGTTAAAGATATGTGTTATTTTTGATGGAGCATTATTCATCAGTAAAGAAGGATTAACTTGAGATACTTCTAGGTAAATGGATGCACATTGATGCACTTTGAGACTATACTCTGAAGGGAAATGAACTGGATACAAATGTGTGAATATCACATTGTTTCTCTGGTGTAAGTAACCAAAAGTATAAGGATCAGCTGGGTGTGGTGGCACATGACTGTAATCCCAGAACTTGGGAGGCTGAGGCAGGAGGATGGCTGTGAATCTGAGACCAGCCTGGGCTACATAGTGAGTTCTAAATCGGTCTCAACTACACAGTGAGGCCTTGTGTCAAAAAAACAAAACAAAAGAATAAGTATCAAATGTATAATGGATACTGTGAAATAGGGAAAAAAAAACATGTTTAAATAGGAAGGGGAACTAGGAAGCGACAGGGAAAGGAAAAAAGAAACAAGAAAAGAAAAAAATTGAAACAAAGCTTTTGTAAACAAGGAGGGGAAGAGAGGTTGTAGGGAGGATAGAAGAATGGGAAAAAAAGAAGAATCAAGATATATATGCACCAGGTCTTAAGTTTGATCCCCAGTATGTAGATAGATAGATAGGCAGATAGACAGCTCATGTACAGGTACAAATTTCCTATGATGAATGTGATTCTTATGTCTATCTAAAATATACTATTTAATTATTTTTTTAAAGTTACACATAAAAACAAAAATGAATGAAAAACTGAAAGCACTTCCTGTGATATCAGACACAACAGTGATCATATATAGACAATCACCTGTAAGTTACCAAAAATTACTAGAATAAATAAATTTAGCAAAGTTGCAGAGTATTAATATATAAAAATGGATAGCCAATGAAAAATTCTTGAACAAGGCCATCCACTTACTATTATTCAAGAACAAAAATGAAGAACAAATTTAAAAGTCAGAAATCTGTACAATAAAAAAATTTCAAAATTCATAAAAGTATACAAAAAATGAAAAGACAACACTTGTTCTTGGATTTCAAGAAAAAATATCATAAACTTTAATACTACCCAAATCAATGTAGTTCAATAGCTATGAAATATCACTGCCATTCCTCAGAGAATTAGAATGTATAAGTATAAAATGTATACAGAATAAGAAAACAATTACAGAAAACAAAATTGAATGGTCAAGGTAGGTATGCTAGAGCACAACTGTAATTTCAGTGCTCTGGGATGTTGAGACTGAAAAATTATAAGTTCAAGCTGGAGCTGAGCAAATTAGTGAGACACTAGCCTCAAAATATAAAATGATTTTAAAGGGTTAGGTTTAATACTTAGTAAACAACAACAAAAAAAATTGATAGCCACAGCCATCTTAAGCAGAAATATCAAAGCAGGAGTCATTATACTCTCTGCAGTCAAAACATACTACACAACTAATAATCAAACCATTTAGATTGGTAACACATGTCTTATAAGCTCAGCTACCAGGGAGACAGAGGCAGGAAGACCTCAAATTAAAGGCCAACTTGGGGGATACAGTGAGACTCTGTCTCAAAAAATAAGGTGACACCAAAAACAAAATTATAATAAACAGAATGACACTGGCAAAAAGCAAAAAAGACATAAACCAATGTTAAAGAATAATAAGCCTGGAGTAAATAAACACATGTATGTACAGTCAGCAATTTTTTTTTTGACAAAGGTGTTAGGATACGTTGGAGAAAAGGCAGTATTTTCAACAAATGATTATATAAAGACTGGCCAGTCTCATGTACAAAAGATTTTGAATTTTCATCAAAAGAAATTATATTTAACATTTTACAGTAAATATAAGTAATGTATCTACAGAACATGACACTGTGTTAATAAGCTATAAATTTTATATATTCATGATCAGTTTTAAAATTACCTAAGAACAAACTGACAAGAATATAAACTGTGTAGGGAGTGGAATATTTCTATATATCTTTGAATTAATTTGTTATGGACTAAGAATAGAAGAGTATATACACTACTTGTTGAAAGGCTAAAGCCACAATAAAAAAAGAACTATTAAAAATGAGGCAAATATTAAAGCAGTTAATAACAAAAAAATCAAATAACAAAGGAATAATTCAGAAATATTAAAAACTTCAAAAGAGTAAACAAAAGGGCAATGTTAAATTCTTTCATAATCATCCTAAGTATGTGAGTAATATTAATCAAATGAATAAATTCAGAGGGCCTTTATGAGTTAAAAAAGAAGATACAAAAATATACCGTTTATAAGACATTTCCCCATAGCTTAAAGATGACACAAAGATTGAAAGAATGAAAATATTTCAAGCATATAGTAATCAAAAGAAGGAAGAACATAAAAATACCTCTAAAATCTAAAATTGTCTTCAAAGACAAAATAGTAACTATATGGCAACAAAATAGTTCATTCAACAGTAACAACTGTAAGTATGTATCCAATGTCAGAGCATATAAATACAGAAAGTAAATATGAAAAGATCTGAAGGGAGAAACTGAAAATACAAAAATATCATGAAATTTCAATATCCCACTTCTAATAATATATTCAAGAACCAGCCAGACATTGAAACTAAATGATGACTTAAAGAACAATTTGTAACAAAATACTATGCACGGAATAGCAGAAAATAACATTCTTCTCAAGCACTTATTAAGGTTATAGCAATAAGTAGCTTCATTATAAAAATAATGCTCTCAAGTAATAACTTATTTCAAGGAATTAAATAAATTACAGCAAATCTTCAAAACTCCCATTTTTTTCAATTACATTGATTGTTAAGATAAATAATTAAAATATTTAAATATTGCAAGTGGATAGGAAAAATATGAATTTGTGATTTAACTCATGCAAATTTTTCCATGTCTTTATTCTTCTCTGTACTGTAAAAATTAGGGTTGAGTACTTGGAATGAAAGAAAATATTTTTAAGGCTAGGCATGGTGGCACACGCCTGCAACCCCAGCACTGGGGAAGCTAAGGCAGGCGGATCACTGTGAATTTGAAACCAGCCTGGGCTGCACAGTGAGTTCCAGGTCAGTCTCAACTACATAGTGAGACCCTGTCTCAAAGACAAAAACAAAAACAAACAAATAAACAAAATATATATTTTTTAAAGATGTGTGTTCTCAAAATTTTGGTTTGTCTTCAGGACAATTCTGTTTTGATGCCAAGGAAATTCTTTAAGGAAAAAATAGCGAAGAGTTGTTAACTCACAAAAAAATGGAACTACAATAGTTTTAGAGAGTACTTACTTAATCATTTCAAAAAGTTTTGGATCAGAGATTTTGATATTTCGTGCCATATTCCAGGAAAGATGAATCATGGGTACTACTGACTTCACACTTTGCAATCTATTCCATTCATATCGTTCCACTGCCAACTTATACTGGCAGGCTAGGAGGAAAAATAAATAAATAAATAAATAAAACAAATAAAATAAAGCAAAATTACATACAAATAATAGGACAAAAACCCTATCACAATGTCTCAGGATACAACTTTAATACCAATTCTGAAAAATCTTAAAATCCTGCAGGAGTTTGTTTCAAGGCAATTGTTATTTAGGACTATTAAATCATATATAAAGCATTCGCAGTACATGAGACATGATACTAGGCTGATTTTAAGCTTATATTTTTCATTCTTTCAAAGCTTTCTTGATTTTCCAATGCATTTTTCTGATGAAGAAAACAAGCACTTCATAGAGGAAAAAACAAACAAACAAACAAACCCCCCCAAAAAAAACCTGCCCAAACTTACAAAGTTAAAAATTTAACTAAGCAAAGGGTTAATTCAAGTCTTTCTAGATCAAAGCCCAGATTCTTTAGCTTATATATACTAAACAGTTTGAATACTAAGGAATGCTGAATAATAGATCACATGAAATAAACAACTAAAGGCATAGGAATGTAGCTCAGGCCCTAGCAAGCCCCAAAACCTGGGTCTGATCCCAATATTACAACAAATAAAAATAAAAGAATGACTACAATTTACTCTTCCATAATCAGCTTCCTTTATAAAAACAAAATATGATACTCTTAAAGGATCAAAAAGCATATCTTCTATATCTACAGAGAAATATATTATCTGTTAAATTTTGACTACCATTTAAAAAAAATTTTTTTTCAGTCTCACTATGTAGTTCAAGGAGGCTTTGTCTCATGGCAATCCTTATGTCTCATCTTTCAATCTTTCAGCTCTCAACTGCTGAAACTGCATGTGTGCCCAGCTTAGATTATTTTAAATCCAAACTTAACCTCTGTAAGACTTCTCACTTTTAGTGGCAACTCACTTTCTGGTTCCCCTTCTATCTCTCTTAGGTGGAAGCTATCTTTCTCTTCATAAACACTTCCTATTCTTAAAAAAAAAAAAAAAAAAAAAAAAAAAGACTTCTCACTTTCAATGAGTTATTTTCTAACTGAAAAATAATATCTATTAGAAAGAATCTTTTAAAATGTAAAAACTGTTAGTGGATTATTTAAAATACCTGTAAGTGGACCAACATTCCATGCAATGTTGTTGCACCACCCAACAGCCTGAACCCAATGTACAGTGCCTGCATTTATCCACACCAAATCTCCGGGTCGTTGAATGAACCTATACACGGGAACATTTGCTTCATAAAGATCTTCAAGGTTGGGCCACCAAGAACTCATTAGGAAATTCAAATTATTTCTATGGGTGAAAAAAAGATATAATATGCTGGTTTAATTGTTTAAAAGATGGGAAGATAATCTCCAAAGTTTAAAGTATCATCATTTACTCCATTAAATTAATCACAAGCGCTCAATCACAAAATCACTGTACCTAGAACTGTTTTTGTTTTTACAATGAAAAGTTTGATATAAAAGGGTCAATATGACAACAATAAAGTGCAAATTTTGGCTGAATTATCAGGTACTGTAACTTTCAATTTACTTTTCCAAAGTCTTAATGTTTCAAGTTACACTTCAATGCATTAGCTTTTGTTTTAATGATTTTGATTCATCATTACTGAACAACCTGTTGACATTTAAATGTGGCCATTAATCCTCATATCTTACCCTGACTGGATTAAGAAATTGTAGCACATTGGTAGACACATTTCTACTTGTGTCTGGTAGATTATTAAGGCATAAGGTTGGGTACTACATACTCTTATGCATTCCTCTCCAGAGCTGCTCTTCAGCTCTCCCTCCAGACACCACAAACTATGTAGCATTTTTCCACTACACACTTTCAGCAGGATCTTCTGGATGATGTATTGAATATACCTGAAACTATAAGCTAACTTAAACCCTTCTTTAAGGTTATGAATATTAGATATTGAGTTCTCACACGATGGGAAAGCTAATTCAGAACACTGGCAAATGAGAAGCGGGGTCACTGCTGGACCTGCATCTTAACTAACCAGTTGTATAAAAGACTGTTCTGTGGTTTGCAGAATCACTTTGAAAAGGTTTGGCTACAGCACAAAGGGTTGGAAGGGCTATAGTAGCCCCAGACTGTTACAAGCAGAGCCTGATAATGATTCTGGGTAGAAATCTAACAGGAATGTAGACAGGAAAGGCTAGTCTCAGATGATAACAAGGATTCCATTGGCAGTTGGACTAGAGGTAATGGGTATTATACTCTGGCATTTGGCATGTGTCTATATTTCCCCATGTCCAAAGGTGTTGCAGGAGACTGACATTAAAGTTAGTGAACTGATTTGGTGGATGAAATTTCAAATTAGCTCAACATTCAGGTCATGGCTGGGGTACTGTTAGCTGCTTTAACCAGATTTCCAGTAAGAACCAGTAACAAAGCAGAGTAGAAAAAAATTAAAAAACTTATTACAATTGTTGCCCAAAAGAAACCAGAATCAAATGGTTGTTGAAGAAGTTAGCACCATCAAAAAGAAAACAACTTTTTTGGGTTTTTTTGTAACAGGGATTGAACTTGGGTCCTTGTACTTGCGAGGCAGGCGGCAGAACCACTGAACTACATCCCTGCCAAGGAAACAACTATTTTGTATAAGGATAGGAAATATGCCTTGAGGGACTCTCAGAAAGCAGCAGTCCCCACCTATCACAAGCTCGTACTTTAGAAGAGTCCCTAGGAGCTCTGCTCAAGAAGAGCCTCCCAAAGAATCAGTTCTTTGGGATTCATTTCATCATGTTCAAACATTGAGGCACACAGAGGCTGCCGTAACCATGGTCCAAAGAGGACAGCTGCTGGTCTTGCTGACAGCAGACTTTGGCATCATTCAGACGGTACACATTTTTCTGGCATGCAGACTACTAAAGTTAGCGGGGTGGGGATGGGTCAGGGAAACTTCCACTGAGATTTCAAAAGAAGGTTTAGGCAGCCAGGCAAGGAAAGCTTAAGAATATATAACATTAGCTCTGGGAATGAAGGTAAGGAAACACTGGGACCACAGGAATTCTAGATCCCAGTAGTATTGCAGGTCTACTGAGGTAAGCAACAGATTATGTGTGGAGTCAGCCTGGGAGAAGTCAAAGTCCTTTGGAGCTCACACTTTATCAACATGTGCCAAGCATGGTAGATATAGGGCTGTAGAATTTAAGGTTTGTCCTGTTGTGTTCTGGTCTTCCTTTGGTCTGATTCTTTTCTACTCCTTCATTCCTCCCCTTGGGAATACTATAGAATGTTTGCCCTTTGCCATTGTACAGGAATTATGTAACCTGATTTTTTCACAGAGGTTCACATTAAAAGTCTATTCAATCTCAGAAGGACTTCAATTTCTGAAATATTTTGCAAGTATTGATGTGTTGAGGAATTGTGTTTTCATTTCTACACAAAATAAATAGATGCATGCTACACAAAATTATTAAATTATTTTTTTTATTTGGAGATTAAGTATGATTTAAAGAACTACATTTGAATGTCAAATTGTAAAGGGATGATTGTGATGATTAATCCTGACACTCTGAATGGATTAAGAAATACCAAGTAGATTGTGAGGCATGCTTCTTGGCAAGCCTGGGTGAATAATGTTGGCATTACTTTCACTACTATATATATACAATTCCTCACTTAAGTAGCTTTGCTCCACCATGCCTTCCTACCATCATGCCTTGCAGCCTGCTATTCAGGTACCAAATCCTCTGAAACCAAGAGTTAAATTAAAACTCTTCCCCTTTAACTTGGGGGTGGTGGACATTATGTCTGAGCTACAGGAAAGATGACTAATACAGTAGGCATCCCTAAAAAGCAAGTGATGAGGGAGGGTTATATCAAGTCACTTAAATTCTTACTAAAAATCAGTGGCAGAATGGCAGTGGTGATAAAAGCAGAAGTCAGACTGTTCCTCTACTGCTGAAGCAGATCCAGAAGCAGAAGATAGATCAGGGACATAATGTTATCTCTATGTGGTTTTAGAAATTAGTTAACTATAATGTGGTTGATAAAAATAATCAAAAGAGCTTCTTTTATAAAAGGAATACCCCCGACATATATAACACATATAATATATATGTTAGCACTGCAAATGGCACAATGTTTAATTTTTGTTTTAATTTTTTTATTAGTATACATTTATATTCTATAACAACTACAATTGTTGTAAGAATGGTTACATGTACATAATACAACTCAACATTTTTTTATGGTCCCATTTTCCTCCATTCCTTTCTGCCTCTATCTCTTGAAGCCTCCAGCCTTGCTAGCATTTGTTACTACTTGATTTCTTGATAATACCCATTCTTTCTGGAGCAAGATGGTATTTCATTGTTAACTAGCATATCTCTAATTGCTAACAATGATTAAAATTTCTCATATATTTACTGGCTATTTGTACTACTTCATCTTATCAGTGTCTATTCATTTCGATATGCCTTTTTTAAAAAACTGGGTCTTTTATTTGGGTGATTCTAATTTTTTAAAGTTCTTTATATATTTTAGATACTAGTCCTCTGAGAATTACTGTAGCTGGCAAAAACTGTTCCTGATTCTGAAGGATGTCTCTTCTATTTATTTTTTTCTTTGTAGGGCAGAAGCTATTTAATCTGATCCCATCTACTGACTTGTAGTACTATTTCTTCTATAACTGAGTTTTGTTCAGCAAGGCCATACCTACATCTCTGTCTTCAACAGTTTTACTTATTTAATCATCCAGGGTGTTTCTGTTTTAATATATAGTTCTTCGTCCATTTTGATTTTAAATTTAGTATATAGTGAGATTTTGGTCTAGATTCAATTCTGTGCATGTGGATAGCCAATTTGCCCAAGACCATCTATGAAAAAGGTTCTCTTTCCTCCAGTGTGCGTTTCTTGTCCTTTTTTCAAGGATCAACTAGCTGAATGAGACTAGGGTTGTTTCTGCATCCTCTACTGTGTTCAGTGTATGCAAATGTTCCTTTTTGTGCCTATACCATGATGTGTTTTATCACTGTAATTTTGTAATATTACTATAAATCCAGTATTATGATGCATCCTGTTTTAAACTGTAGCTTTACTCCTCTACTTTATATTACTCCTATTACATTTACTGTAAACACACTGACGTATTCCATAAAAAATTTAGTGACACATTTCACATCAAATTTTTATCAAGAAGAAATTTATATAGTAGAAATATTTCTAAAGATTTACTAATGACCTTTGCTTTTTTTTTCTTTAAAGGTGTGAAAAAAAGGTGTTTTGGGATTATCTAAGTGCACTCTTGTTCTTTTCCATCTCTTTTCTCCTAGGAAAAAACAACAACAAAAATTCAAGTGTGATACTGCATATAGCACTCTTAAAAGGCTGAGGCAAAAGGTTCTCAAATTCAAAACCCAGTTAGATAACTTAGTGAGAATCTACCTTAAAAAGAAAAACTAAAATAAATAGACCTACAAATTTAAACAAACCAAAACAAAATGACTGGGAAAGTACATAGGGCCTGAGTTCAATACCCCGAGTGAAAAGGAGAAGACGTGAATACAGGTTTTCTTAACCTAACTCTACAAAAGGCAGACAATTAAAGGAAAAAACAGTTTTCTCTAAATTTTAAAGAGTTGTGATATAAAAAAATTGAAGACACACAGAAAAGACGGAAGGAAGGAAGAAATGGTGAAGTTACAAGCACTCCATATAAACCTTAGCCCCAATTTCCTATTTACCATACATATTTTTTAAAAGAGAGAAAGAAAGCAGGCAAGAAAGCCAATGACAGCATAAATGTATTTTTTCAAATTTCAAAACAATGATTTATCTGTATGACTATAAATTAACTGCCAAAATCATCAATTTCAGGAAAAATATTCCATGTTGAAAATAACATTATGATGAAAAAATTTTAAGGGCATCTGGTATTTCCAATAGTTAGAGTAATTCATATATTTAACCTTGAGGTAGTTGAAATAACTTGCATTTTAATCACTTCCAAGACGAAATTTCTGGATACTAACTGTATTTTTCAGAACTATCTTTGGCTTTCAAGAAAGCTAAGCTTTGATAATAGTCAGTTCATACTCAGATATAATGAACAAAAGCATTACTTAAGTGTAAAAAGTATTATAAATCATAGCCTCATTATTGTAAGAAATGTTTTCTGTACTCAATGGAGATTTCCCATATTACATTTGTTTTTCATTTAAGCTACCAATTTCTAGGTACAAAAAAAAAAAGTTTAAATTAAAGTGTTTACTGCTAAATGCTAAACTTTACAAAGCTTCTCTCTGAAGATGAAGAAAACAAATTACATATCACAGAAAATTTTGCTGTATTAAAAGTTCTCAATTTGTGTTAGTACAATGCACTTTTTACCAAATAAAATATACTCATTAAAGAACTTCAAAAAGTTTAAAATACCAGTTATTCTTAGGGATCATAACAGTGTACCATGTATTCCAAAAAGGTGTAAGAAATGATTTTGAGTATTTTCAGCACAAATACTACATAAGATCAGATATTCAACCTGAGTTGAGTGTTATACAATGTAGGAATGTTTTTAAAAATCTGAGATGTTTGGATGTCAATCACAAAATTTTTTTTAATTTAAAAAAGAAAATACTTAGCTAGGGATATGGCTTGGTGGAAAAACAACTTCCTGGCATCGGTAAAGACCTAGATTCAATTATCAGCATCCTCTACTTCCCCCTTAAAAAGTCACTTGGTGGAATATATACATGAACTGATTTTGAAATAAATCTCACATATGAATAATGAGAATTCTACCCAATTTTTATCTTGAGTTGTAAGCGTATAATATCTTTGTGATGTACCATTTTTATTTTCTTTTTTCTTTTTTTGGTACCGGGGATCAAACTTGGGCCTTGCACTTGCGAGGCAGGCCAATGAACCACTGAGCTAAATCCTAGGCCCTACCATTTGTATTTTCAACTATTCTTGTTATTAATTCTTAAAAGTTTATGGAATTGTTTTGTTATTAGACACTTATTTTAGGCTAAAAACAACGTAAGATTAAGTTACAAACAAACTATATGGGCAGTTAATTTTAGAATCTGTGCCTTTTTCCCCCCCTAGCACTGGGGATCAAAGTTGGGATTTTGCTCTTCCAAGGTAGGCGGCAGAATCACTAAACTCAATCTCTGGCCTAAATCTGAGCCATATTTAAAAAGAACTATAATAAGCCTTCTCTCTCCTTGAAAGACATTTATAAAAAATTTTATTCACATGTTAATTTTTATATTATAATGAAAACAATTGTATAAAAACAATTTTCTGTCCTTTCAATTTATATCTATTGCTGGGCCAGGGATTTAGCTCAGTGGTTCCACACCTGCTATGCAGGACCAAGGTCCTTAGTTCAATACCTGTTACCACACACAAAAAAAAAATTGTATCTACTGCTCTTAGAAGTTAATTTTACTGCATTTTTAATTAAGTACATTACATAACATAAACTTTGAAATGAAATTACTTAAAATTGCTGCTGAGCAATTATGTAAACACTAGCAGCTTCACTAAAAAAATAGTTTTGTAGTTTGTTTTTCACAACTGATTTCTCAAAATGATATATTAAAAAAGAATGTAGTTCTGAAACCTACTTTTCACAGAAGTCGTTCAGCACACCCCAGTAATCTTCTGGTACAACAAACCATTCACAATCACCTGGACCAATATTAATGTTTACAGAACAGAAGTTGTTCTTCTCTTGGTGACCTGAAAAGGAAAACAAAATGACAGCCATGTGTGTATTATATATTCAGGGAAGAAATGTCCTGAAAATAACTGTTAGATTTTAAGAAATGAGTAAAACTCCGACCTAAAACAAGGACAAAAATCAAATACTATTCTATCATCACTGATTACTGCTTATTCTTCCATAAACCACTCCTCAATCTCAAAAATGTTATTTAAAAAATTAAGTTAGGCATTGTGGCTTACACCTGCAAACAGATATATCCCTCTGAGAGGCTGAAGCAGAACTGTAAATTCCAGCCGAATCTGGTAACTTTATCCAGTTAGTGAGAATCTAAGTCAAAATTAAAAATAGAAAAGGTTAAAGTATAGATCAGTTTGAAGACACTGGAATTAAGAAAGAAATGAGAGAGGAGGTGAATGCAAAGCACGTCCAAAGAAGGAAGACAAGGGGGAGAAAGAAGGATAAATACTTCTGTTGCATCTTTTAAAATGTTTAAATTTAAAACTTACAAAGACAAAAAGTGAAGTAAAGCTTATATTACCATAATCTCACTTTGAAGACAAAGAAAACTTTTTAAATGAAAATAGTACAATGCTGTTTTGTACACTTTACTTCCTATGTTTTCCAAAATAAATACAAAGATAGATCCTCACATATTCCCACATATGTTTGGGACATATAATTTATATGCTCGAACTAACAGTTTCCAAACTTTACTGAAAGTATAGAGAAATTTTTCATACTTACAAAACTATCTATGCAACTGTGGTGCCTTACAAACAAAGGTGCACCTAACACGTAACTACAAAGAATTAAACTGTAATATTATTAGACACAAACAAAATATCAAGTAAAGTATCTAATAACTCCATAAATCACTTTCAATTACTCTGTCTAAGAAAACATGCTTCCTAAATGTATTCAACATCAGGTAGTACCTCCATATAAAGACAGATGTTCAAAGATTTTACAAAATAAATTTCATATTAAAGGCCACTTTTGCTGATGTGGAATGCTGATTCTGAACATAAATTAATTGAAATGTTACTTCCTCATGCATCAAAATTCCATTCTTTTCATTAAGAGACAAAAATTGTGAAGTATTTTTTATTTTTATTGAGTTTTCCGGTTTTAATTATAATCCTACTGAATATCCTCAGTTCATTCTCTTGCTTTTCAAAGGAAAATGATTATTTCAAACTTCTTTAAAGAAGAGTTTTCTGACTTCAATAATAGAAAAGCTTTGACATTCATTTTTTAAATGAAAAGGAGAGTTGACCAGATAATAGTATATGATGTATTTTAAGCAGTATCAGTGAATGTTTTATTGTATATGTTTCATATAAAGTAGTGCATGATATAATATGATTCTCGGACACATTGTGATGAAAAAGTGGAAAATACTGTAAGCTATCAGCAAGTGGAATAAAAATTTATTAACACTAATTAAATGATTTTCAGTGTCCTTTCCCAGTTTAATTTTTTCTGATTTTATACACACACACACACACACACACACATGCAAAGAATTTAAATATCATTGTGAAACAAATATTCAAGCTTATTTAGAAAAATTATGAACACCTTCTATGCTATGAAAAACAACTTTAAAACTGTTCTAGCTTTCTTGGTTATAAATGAGAAATTTTTTGTTTATCTTCATTTTGATTCAGTTTACTCTTTCAACTATACAAGATAGGTTAGTTCATAAAAGTCACCTGGTGTTCTACTCCCTGGAACTTTCATATATAGTTGAACTGTATTCATGCCCAATATGGAATGGCCAACATGGCTTAGAAGGTTTCCTGCTGACACAACACGCACAAAAGCAGGAAGTTTAGTGAGCTCATGTAACTGCAACTTCCATCTGCAATAAAATAAGTTGTAAGAATTAACCAGATCCTCAAAATTCTTAAGCTCCAATCAGAAACAGTTACACCCATAAACATTACCATAACAACCAGAAGTTTCATTAGTGTTAAATTTTTTCCAAGAATAAAGTCCTAAAACAGAAATTCCTGAAATACATAGAACTTTATAATCTAGTAAATTAAATAAACAATTTAATAGCTATATTTTAATTTGCAAAAATTAAATTGGATTTTTTTCTTCAGTACAAAAATACCCTGTATTTTAAAATAAGTTTGGAATGCTAAATTTTGGGGTTTGGTTTTGTTTTGTTTTTGAGACAGCATCTTACCAGGCAGTTCAGGCTGGCCTTGAACTCATGGCAATTCTCCTGCCTCAGCCTCTCAAGTACTGGGATTATATGGGTGCTGTCAAGATTTTTAACTAAAAATTTTCTGTAAATATGGGCAGAGTAAAGAGACAAAAGACTAGGCAAAGAAAAGAAGAGGCAACCAGTTTATTGCCAAACCTGTAAACCCCTCTTATTTAGTTCATAGAAACAAAAGGTCATCAGGGAGACTTACTTTTTGTTATCAGAGAGGTCAATGTTGGTCCCAAATTTTATAGTTTTAAAAGGTGCTTTCTTTTTCTTTCCAGAACTTAAAAAGGAAAAAAAAAGAAAAAAGACAAAATTAAGCCCATGCCTACAGACAAAAGTACAGATTGAATACTAAAAGTTACTTACTTATCCGAAGAGGTGGATTCATTATCTGAATATTCTTTTAGTTGTGTTTTTCTCTCATTTTCTTCCTACAGATTAAAATAATTATTCATACTTAGCAATCTTTAACACACTAATTCTATTATAAAAATATATTAATAAATCATCTCTGGAGAAGTAATGTCTGTGTGTATGTGTGAGTGTGAGTGTGTGTGTGTGTGTGTGTGTGTGTGTGTGTGCATGTTTGTACTGGGTATCGAACTCAGGTCGATGCTTGTAAGGGAAAGGAACCACTGAGCTAAATTCCCGGCCAATGTGTGTGTTTTTACAATTAATTCTTAATAAGTGCGCCCACTAAGAAAAGCCCATGTCCTGATGGCTTCACTGCTGCATTCTACAAGACATTTAGAGACAAACTACTGCCAATACTCTTTAAAATTTTCAGTGAAATTGAACGGGAAGCAATACTCCCAAATTCATTCCTGGAAGCAAGAGTTACTTTGAGTCTAAAACCAGAGAGAGACACAACCAAAAAAGAGAACTACAGGCCAGTCTCCCTAATGATCCCAGATGCAAAAATCCTCAATAAGATAACGGCAAACAGGGGGTCATCAAGAAGATCATACACCCTTACCACATCGGATTTGTCCCAGGGATGCAAGGATGGTTCAACATATGTAAGTCGATAAATGTAATACACTATATTAACAGAGTCAAGGACAAAAATCGTATGATCCTCTCGATAGATGCAGAAAAAGCATTCAGCAAAATTCAACATCCAATTCATGATAAAACCCCTGCAGAAAATTGGAATAGATGGTCTTTACTTCAACTTGATAAAGGCTATCTATGAAAAAATAACAGCCAATATCATATTAAATGGCCCCAATTAAAACCCTTCATGCTAAAATCAAGAACAAGACAAGGATGTCCACTATCACCACTCCTGATCAATATAGTCTGGAAATATTAGCCACAGCAATTAGACAAGAGAAAGAAATAAAAGCAATAAAGATAGGAAAGGAAGAAGTTAAACTATTATTTACTGATGGTATGATACTCTACATAGAAGACCCAAAGAACTCTGCCAAAAGACTTCTAGTCTTAATTGACACTTTCAGCCGAGTAGATGGACACAAGGTCAACACTCAAAAACCAGTAGCCTTCTGGCACACAAATAACAGCCTCACTGAGAGAGAAACAATTCCTTTCACGGTAGCGTCCCCAAAAATGAAGTATCTAGGAATCAATCTAACAAAGGAAGCAAAAGACCTCTACACTGAAAACTACAGCACTCTGAAAAAAGTCAAAGAGGATATAAGAAAATGGAAAGACATCCCCCCTGCTCCTGGGTAGGAAGAATCAACACAGTGAAAATGGCCTTACTTCCAAAACTGCAATATAGACTCAATGCAATCCCGATTGAAAGTCCAACACTATACTTCACAGTACTAGAGAAAATAATCCAAAAATTCAGTTGGAACCAGAAAAGACCTAGGATAGCAAAACCCATCCTAGGCAACAGAGACGTGGCAGGGGGCATCACAATTCCCAACTCAAAACTGTACTACAAAGCCACTGTGATTAAAAACAGCATGGTACTAGCAAAGAAAAAGAACCGAGGATCGGAAACAACTCCAGGTGTACTCAGCTACCTCAACTTTGACAAAGGAGCCAACCATCCTCAGAAAGATAGCCTCTTTAATAAACTGTGTTGGAAAAACTGGATTTCAACTTGCCAAAGATGAAAACTAGACCCTTCTCTTTCATCATGCACTAGGGCTAGGGATTTAGCTCAGTGGTTCCATTGCCTGCCTCTTTCATCATGCACTAAACTAAAATCCAAGTGGACTGAAGATCTAAATATTAAAACAGAAACTCTACACTTGCTGGAAGATAACTGAGGCAGAATTCTCAAAGACAATGGCATAGGAAGACTTTATGCACAAATCCTCAGTAGCATGGGAACTACCACAAAGAACTGACAACTGGGACCTCATCTTATTGAAAAGATTCTGCCCTGCAAAAGAAGCCACCAACAGAGCTAAGAGACAACCTACAATGTGGGAAAAACTGCTTACCAGCTGCTCCTCAGACAAAGGACTGTTATCTAGAATATATGAAGAACTCAAAAAATTCAGGCCCCCAAACGTAAAGACCCAATTCAAAACTGGGCACCTGAAATGAACAGATGTTTCTAAGACAAAGAAGTAAAAGCAACAAATAAATATAGGAAAAAGTGTTCAGCATCACTGGTCATTTGAGAGACGCAGATGAAAGCAACACTGAGATTCCACCTCACCCCACAAATGGCTGCTATCAAGAAATCAACCAACAACAAAGGTTGGCGCTGGGTTGTGGGGAGAAACAACCCTTTCTTCATTGTTAGTGGAAGCGCAGACTGGTGCAACCACTATGGAAATCGATATGGAGATATCTCAAACAACTAGGATTAGAGGTTCTGTTGGACCCAGCCATCCCTCTACTGGCTATCTTTCCAAAAGAACTGAAAGAAGCATACCACAGTGATACATGCACACACATGTTTATAGCAGCACAGTTTGTAATAGCTAAATCTTGGGAACAGCCCAATTGCCCATCAGTCAGAGACCGGATAAAGATGATTTGGTTTTTCTATAAAATGGAGTACTACTCAGCCAACAAGAATGAGAAACTAAAGTCATTCATAGGAAAATGGATGCATATTGAGGCCATACTCTTAAATGAAATAAATAAGACACACATGTGTAAATACCAAGTAGCTTCTCTGGTATGAAAAACTAGAAGTGTAGGATCCAGATTATATAACAAATAAAGTGAACTAGGAAGAAATGGGCTAAAGGTGCAGGGGAAGTGGGAAGGGTAGGGGAAAGGAATTAAGGGAAAAGAAAAAACATGAGAAAAGGAAAAAAATGGAAATAAAGTCTTTGTAAATAGGGGAGGGTGGGGGAGGTGAAGGGAGGGAAGGAGTATGGGGAAAAAGTGAGAACCAAGATCTGTCATGTAAAGGTACAAGATCCCAAAGATGAATGTAACTGTACTGTATGCTTTAAAAGTACCAATAAATGCAATGAAAAAATTTTTTTTAAAATTAAGACTTTAGGGCTACATTTCACAGAAAGTATCTTAAATTATTCTATCAAACAAATATGAAATAAAAGTCAAAGACCAGTGACACTGTACTGAATTTCTTATATTATAAAATTACTATTGCAAAACTGATTTAGTCTAGCAACGTTTCTAAATGAAAAAGAAATGAAAGTTTAAAGGATGTCAAGTGAATTTGAGAGATAATTAAACTAACAAATTATCATGAAAAAAATCTGTAAAAAAATACCAAATATCTAAGCCACTCTTTAGTGTTATCCTTAGACTTTGGCAAGAAGAAAATCTATAGATTTTTACATTTCTTCCAAGTAAAATGATAAAATCAAAAAATTAAGGATTAGTCATTTGTCTATGAATTAAAAGTTGATTATAATGTTGGCATATCATAAATTAATAGAAGTACTGTTTCTACACAGATAAATTCATACTTATAAATGTACATAGTTTAAAAAGTTAAGACCCTCTAGATTTTCATTTTGTTTAGTTACCTTTTCTTCCCTGTTTTAATCACATTAACAAAGTTAAGAATTTATGGAATTTCTGCAAATGAAAAATGATGACACATATTAAACAAAATATTTCATTATCATGAAGAACATCAAAATGTTTAATATAGAAATGTGTAATATTCATTTAACATGGGTGAGACTATGAAAATTTAAAAAATTAAATTCAATTTCAGCCTAATACAGAAAAATAAGCATAAAATGGATCTATAACCTAAATATGAAAGGTACAAGAAGAAATCATTTGTGTAAAACTCAAATGAAATCTGTAAAAGCATAGATTATATATTTTTAATATTTATAATTTTAAAATCTAAAAAAAGCAAAAGAAACAAACTCTTAAAATCTCCACTTCTGAGCAAACCACTTAAAAAAAGAAAAAGAAAATACTCAGAGTAGAAAATATTTGCACATTTAATATCTGCCAATAAAACTTTAATAAGAATTTGTATAAACAACACTTATACCTCAGTATTAAAATATAAATTGGGCTGGGGATTTAGCTCAGTGGTCTGGTGGCCTGCCTTGCAAGCTCAATCTCCGGTACCAAAAAAAAAAAAAAAAAAGCCCAGTTAAAGAAATTAAATGTACATTTCACCTAAGAGGATATATACATGGACAATATTTCAATGAAAAGATGCTTAATGCATGACTATTTGAAAATGAAAGTCATAATCAAAATGAGATGCTACTTCACAATCACGTGGATGGCTAAAATCAAAAGAAAATAAAGTAATGGAGTGGAAGGAAAAATGAAACTCTCAAAATCAATGCTCAAGGACTGGCATAGTGGGGCCACAGCTGTAATCCTAGTGCTTGCAAGGCAGATACAGGATGATGACAAGTTCGAGATCAACCTGGGCAATATAAATTGTTAAACAGCAGCCTGAACTACACAGTGAGACTATACAGAAGGAGGAAATACTAATTAATTAAGGCTTAAAAGGTAAAATGTTTAAAAGTAACCTGACAGTTCTTTTAAAAGATAAACTTTGGTATGTCAAATAATTTAGCAATTCCCAAGAGAAATAAAAGTATATATCCACACAATACTTGTAGCACTGATACGTGGTACAGGACCAATTAACTTTTTAAACCTTTTTGTTTTGTTTTTGTTTTGTTTATTTTTTCAGGGGAACATGGTCTCATCAAACTCACAGCAATCCTTCTGCCTCAGTCTCCTAAGTGCTGGGATTACAGCATGCACTACCATACCTGGTAACTTTTAAACTTTTATACAAAAAGACAAACAAATAAAAGACACATACTTATGGTTATGACATGTTTACATGTCCCACCAAAGTCTCAGGTGGTCGTGGTGGGGCTTTTTCAGAGGTGGCTGGATGTAGAGTATAATTTATGGTTAAGGGCAGTGAGATTAAGAGTGTGAGTTTTATCAGGGTTTATAGCTTGGATACAATATAAGCTATACAAAGAGGCTTGCTGCTATTTACATGTAGTAGATCGTACACTTG